TCCTTGTACCTTTTGAGTTGTCCACCTGGCCTCCTCTTACCGTCTACAAGCTCACCGTAAAGCAGTGATTTTGGTATGCGGTTTTCTTGCATTCTGCATACGTGACCAGCCCATCTTAGTCGGGATTTTGTAACCATGACTTCAATACTCTCGCAGTTAGCTTTTTCAAGAACCGATACGTTTGAGACGTGATGGAACCATTTGATTCTTAAGAGTTGTCTAAGGTGTCTCTGTTGCAGCTTTTTTAATGCGTTCATGTGTCGGCGGTACGGCACCCAGGTTTCGCTCCCATATAACATAGTGGGGATTATTATTGCTCGGTACACTGCAAGTTTCGTTTTTGTGCTCAGGTCATGGTTGTAAAAAACCCTGTCTTTTAATTTCCAGAATGCTCTTGAAGCGCTGCTAATCCTGTGCTGAATTTCAGAGTCGATATTGGCCTTTTCCGAAATCAAACTGCCGAGATAATTGAATTCCGCTACATATTCCAGTAGTTCTTCTCCGATTTTTATAGCATTGTTGTGATCTTCCGGGGGAGTGCACATGATTTTAGTTTTGTCGATGTTTAGCTTAAGGCCCAAAGCCTCGTATGCCCAGGTATATGTGTTCAACATTTCTTGTAATTGCTGTACAGTTTTTGCAACTAGAGCGCAATCGTCAGCGTATTGAAGTTCTGTGATGAATTTTGTACGTGTTTTTGCCCTGAGTCTTTTTATGTTGAACAGACCGCCATCATATCTGTATCTAATGCCCAATCCTCTCTCCTGCAGTTTGCTGTCCACTATAATGGAGAGCGCTGCCATGAATATGTTGAATAGGAGAGGCTAAGACACATCCCTGCCTAACTCCTGTATTTGTCAGGAAGGGATCGCTTAGTGATCCATGATGTGACACTCTTGACTGGTTGTTGTTATGGAGGCTTTTACACACTGTAAGAAATTTGTTGGGTACTCCGAACTTTTTCATAATTGCCCAAAGTGCATCTCTGTTCACAGAGTCGAAGGCTTTTGTTAGGTCGATGAAGGCAACATAAAGTTTAGACTGTTGTTCTTTTACTTTTTCCTGTAGTTGGCGGATGGAAAATATGGAATCGACGGTGCCGCGGTTAGTGCGAAAACCTGTTTGCGATTCTGGAAGGATTCTTTCTATATGTGGGTGCAGGCGGTTTGACATAATTTTTGGAAGAATTTTTCCGCCGATAGCCAAGAGTGAAATTCCCCGGTAGTTTCCACAGTCTGATGCACTTCCTTTGTTCTTAAATATATTCACTATATTTGCTTTGCAAACGTCCTGAGGTACCTCTCCGCTTTCCCATATGACATCGAAGAGAGCCTTAAGATGAGCAATAAGTTCTTTACTTGCACACTTATAGATTTCCGCCAGAATCGCGTCACAGCCAGCTGATTTGTTGTTTTTAAGCTGTTTTATGGAGGCCTTTATTTCCTGTTCTGTTATTGGGATATCTAATACATCGAGGCTGTTATACTAAGGTATTGTGTTTAGCGCTTCCATATTGGGGTTATTTTCTTGGTTAAGGATATGGCTGTAATGCACTTTCCAGCGGTTTCTGATTTGCTCTTCCTCTTTTAGAAGTTCGCCATTTTGTGCCATGATTGGGCAGCTTGCCTTCTTTGTTGGGCCGTACACTTCTTTTACAGCCTCGAAGAATTTACGGTAATCGTGATGCGTGGCGTACTCTTGAATCTGATTAGCTTTCTGTGACCACCAGTTATCTTTTAGTTGACGTAGTTTTCTCCAAAGCGTGTTGTTGGCTGCTTTAAAGTTGTCTACCAGCCTTGGGTTGTGTGGATTTGTGTACCATACTGTCTAATACAGACACAAAATTCAGTTTTTAGTATTTGGAGCAATTATTATTAATCTACGCAAACAGTCAATTAATGTAGTTTGAATACTGGAATCATATTAATTGGTCCTCTTTAACAGATATTTAAACAGCTTTTTTTTATTTTTAATGAAATAAACGCACTATATCGACAATATTAGTATCTGTTTTTTTTTACAAATTTGTTACGTCCTTAAAAATAATCTAAAATGTCAATATTCCATGGGTATATTGATAAATGCGGTCTAAATTATAAGAAAACGCATTTTCTACAAAAACTTGAAGAGATAGGTAAAATATGGTATAATACAATTTGATAGACAGTTAAATTATGCATCTGATTCTCATAAAATATATAGGGTGTTCAATTTAAATTAAACAAATTGCCGTGAAAGTTAGTAATTATTTAAAATAAATTTTTAGACAATCTGTATAAGATAGTATAATTTTTATTATTGCAACACAAAATTTAGTAAATAGAAATACTTCAGTACAATATTTGTTTAAAACCAAATATTGTGTCAAACCAAACCAAACCAAACGTAAATACTAATATAAATAATAACGCCTAGAGAAATGAAGCATTAAAATTTATACTGTATTTTGAGAAAAACCTAAATATCTCAAAAACGGTAAGATTAAAATGGGGTAAACCTTAATCAAATTTACCTTTATTTTAATCGCAGAAACTAAAAATATAATAATATACGGGTGTTCCGTTTAAAAAAATACAACTTTGTTATTTTTTATTTATTTGGGACACTCTGTATCTCGTGAAAATACTTTTAAATTGTATCTCTAATAGTGCTTCAACGAACCCAAAACTTACAATTTGCGAAAATCTAATCGTTTAGCTACAATACTCCCTGTCGTATGTGGTGAACAACCCTGTACATATCGCTACGAGCAACTATTTTCAAGATATTTAGAATGGAAATAGTCAATACATGTCATTATTGACAATAAAATAAACATATGTTGTGTGTGAGTAGATAGTTATTTGATTGAAATGATAAATTTGGAAACAATTTGATTTTTTTAAATTAATCATAAATTTTTCTTCGAAAAAATTATGATAAAACACTTTCTGGTGAACTTTTGGCAGAAGAATATTTCAAATTTATAACTATTTATTCAACATGTTTAATTTATGTCAATGATGACAGGGTATCATTTAGATTCAAAATATCTCGGAAACTATTACTCGTAGCGAGTTTTACCAAGATTTTACGTAAAAAACGTCGCAAATGTATATTTTTTACTCAGTAATAATAATTAATTTCAGTCAAATAACTATCTATAATAGTCAAAGAAAATCTAGTGGGGTTGCAGTCGGAAGGGTTTGACAAAGAATTAATACACTTTGTTAATTGTCAAGCTTTCGGAATTTATTTATTCCTTCCTCAAGACATTAACGTGGTACAGAAAATACCTTCATAAAAAACTACATTAAAAAATATGGCTCGTGTTGATAACTCCACCGTGAAGCATCGCTAACCAGTCAACTACAAAAAAGGGGGGACGAGGGCTCTTATAGGGCGGTTAAGCCGCCTGATATTTATTTAGAACATTGGAATAATTAAGAGATGTTCAATTAAAAATTAAAAATTCAATTACGTCTCAATCTAAGGCGTGAAGGCGCAAAGTGGCTTAACCGCCCTATAAGAGTCCTTTTCCCCCCTTTTTTGTGGTTGACTGGTCAGCGATACTTCACGGTGGAGTTATCAACACGAGCCATATTTTTTAATGTAGTTTTTTATGAAGGTCATTTCTGTACCACGTTAATGTCCTGAGGAAGGAATAAATAAATTCCAAAAGCTTGACAATTAATAAAGTGTATTAATTCTTTTTCAAACCCTTCCGACTATAACCCCACTAGTTCCTAGATTTTCTTTCTCACTAGTCAGTCGAGACTACTTTCTGCTTATAATAGTCAACATATTTATTTATTTTTGTCAATTCCATTTCAAATATTTTGAAAACGGTTGCTCCTAGTGATTTTTAGCAAGAGACGTTTTTGTTACGTAAAAAATTACAGAAGTAGTATAGTATATTTTTCCACTTGGTAGTTTTATACAGGTACGTGCAAAAAGTTATTACTCTTCAAACCAGTTAAAAAATATGTAGGTGGCGCCCTGTACAAAGAAGAGTCATATTGACATCAAAATCAAATTTATCATGTCAAAAAATTCCCAGACACCAATTTTTATAGAAATATTGACATAACTTCATAAATTATTTGGAACAAATCGAAATAAAAATGAAACTCCGAAACTAAGCATTTTAGGACATACATTTACACAAACTTTTCTACTTATTTTTACCAACAGAATATGCTGCCAAAGATTCCGGAATACAGTTCGGACCGCCCTGTATATTTTGTTTATTTTTTAGAACTTTGGTAAACCGTTTTTCCTGAAATTTGGTTCTCTTACACAAATTTTAATTCCAAAGCGAATGGCTATTCGGCTGTATTCGATGAAAAATTTCATAAAAGCCCTGAGAGGGTATTTTCCATTTGGGTAGTGAGTACTACTAGTGTACTGGTGGTACTTCTATTATCCTTATAGAATACAGTAATTTCAACAAATGATATAAAAAGTTAGAATTTTTTTACGTAAAACAGGTGCTCTTCGTTTAGTTCGAAAAGGTGAACGGTTTTCAAGCTATTTGCGTTTAAAGATTACGATGCATCAATTTTAGAATTAGTGAAATGATAAAATGTTAAATAAATTAATCTTCTGATTTCGCTAATGCTAAAATCGATGCATCGAAACTTTAAATGCAAATATCTTGAACCCCGTTCCCTGTTTCCTAATAATTTTCACACGAAGAGCACCTTTTTACATAAAAAAAAGTCCTAGCTTTAATTTTCATCGCTTGAAATTACTGTATCTATAACGATAAAAGAAGTACCACCAGTAGTACTCTCTACCCTAATGGAAAGTACCTTTTCAGGGCTGTTACGATCACCGTTCGCTTTGTTTCGTTTGCTTTCAATATTCTTAAAAATAAACAACATATATTATTTTTATTTAACATTTCGTTGGCTGTAATTTCTAGAGAAATATTTTAGGGCAGATGTTCATAGTTCATCACACACCGAAGTTAGATACCCTATTTTTTGTACCTTGTATAATGTTTATAATCACGTTACCTCTTCAGCAATGCTTATTAGATTTTCGGCCATAGCTCGACCAGTTTGTTGCACTAGTTCGTAGAATACTCCATTTTCTGTATTCTGTAACAGTTCATGAGGATGTCCAAATTCAACGACTCTACCGGCATCCATGACTAGCACCTTATCTGAGTCCATTATAGTGTGCAATCTATGAGCAATAGTTAGCACCGTACAACTGGAGAACTTTCTTCTAATTGTCGATTGAATCAAAGCGTCGGTTTGAGGATCTACGTTGGCTGTTGCCTCGTCCAGAACTAAGATCTTGTTTTTCCGGACTATGGCACGAGCCAGACACACTAGTTGTCTTTGGCCAACACTGAAGTTGCTTCCGCCTTCGGACATTTTACTTTCTAACCCTTGAGGTAGGTCACTAACGACTGATTTTAGTTCGACTTCTTCTAAAGCGCTCCATATAGACTGAAACAAGAAATTATTAGACTTATTAAGAAAGTTTTTGAATAAAAGTTTGTTTATAATAAAATATGCGTCGTCTTCAAAAGTACAATACGTCTGTCCGTTCTGTAGCTACAGGGTATCCGTGAGAGGGGAAACGATATTCTCTCGATGTTTTTTGTAAAAAAATAGACGACGCGTCCCATCAATAGAAATTCAACAAATTTGCAATTAGCCAATAAAATGAGTGGGCGGAGCGATTTGCCGTGACGCACTCGTCAAATCGACGTATAAAATATATTGCTGTTTATTTAAATGTTTTTTGTCCGCATTCCTTTCATAGACACAGATCCAGCAGATGTACTGTAGACCTTCTTACAAAAAAGAAAGCTAACCAAAAAGTATAACGAGTAACGTTTAAAGAACGAACCTGAATTACATCTAATAGTACGTTTTTTTTCGCAAGAAAAGAGTATGAACTTATTTTTGTCATTCTGAACAAAAAAATGTATTTAAATTTAAATGTATTCCTGCGACCTAAGTTAACTGAACAACCAAAAGTAAATTGATAAGTCAGATGAGCCCTTTTTTTAATTGAAAATGTCAAAAAGTTGACATTTTCAATTAAACAAATGATGTTATGTGATTCTATTCACATGTAAATTTTCTATCAAATGAACTAAAAAAATCCCGAAGGTGTCATTTATAAATGAAAAGTTGTGTATTTTCCGGTGAAAAGGGAAGTGACCGACAACAACTGAATACATCAATCAATCCTAATTTATGTCATATACTAACATATTAAATCTCGTTTTCATATCTCAACAAATAAAAAGTTATAGGGGTGAGCCACTTTTGAGAAACACAATGTATATCTATTGTTGGGTTAACAAGCAGGAATAATAAAGTGCTGATTGCAATAGGTCTCTTAAGAGGGCATATGACTATCAAATGCTACCTGAACAAGCTCAACCTGTATCATGGAAGTATTTCCTGCAAATTCTGCGATAAAGGTCCTGTAGCAACGGACCACATAATATATCACTGCGAGGTTCTGGATCGCAAACGGCACTTTCTATTTGATAATCAAAACTCCCAGTGGATGACATACCAAGAATCTACAACGTTGTGAAATACCTCACTGTAGTATTGAGCAATAAAAAGGATTGGAAGAGAGAAATGTTTGCTCACCATGTAAAAGACCATTTCATAACGTGGTATATTGATGCTTCAAAAACCAAAGCAGGGACAGGAATTTGGGAGGTGTATTTGGGCCGAAAACTAAATACTCCGAACCAATAGGCACCTAACCAAGCATCCTTCAGGCAGAAATCTACGCTATCGAAAGATGCGAACAATTTATCTTAGATAGAAACTATCGGAAACAGGAAATATCCATCTTGTCCGATAGTCAAGCAGCACTAAAAGCGATGAACTCAGTAACCGTCAATTCGCAGTTGGTCAAAGAATGCCTAGAGAAGCTGAACAAATTAGGCAAGAAGGACTTGTTCCAGAGGAAACAAAAGAGAAAACACTCCTCCGAAAAGGGGAGAGTAAAGAAACCAAGAAACAACCTGACTCATCTCCATCAAAGGGACAGAGAGTCAGGTTCAAAGGGAAAGAGAGTCAATCTCACCTCTTCTCCGGCAGGGAGAGAAAAAAGCCAGGATGGAAAGCCGTCCAACACTTGAGGCAAGCAGGGACGTATCACCAACTTTGCCGCTATTGCTGGAAATGGCGGTACTGCCAAAGGATTTCCCAGAGGTTGCTCTGACCACCGACCAGCAAACCTCTCTAGAAGAGGCTATACTGGACGAAGTAGTGGCGACCGGATCGCAACACAACGATCTACAAAATGTGGGTCAGCTGCGTTTTGCGGGGATACACTTTCGGGTGGGCATGATCCTCATAAATTGTGTATCTCAAGAAACGGCGAATTGGTTGGTGGAAATCGCACCTAAGCTTAAAAATTGGCAAGGGCCGGAACTGGTTGCAGTGAAAGGAGAAAACATATTTAAAGGGGCGGCCTTAACGGTCTTTCTGCCGAGGAGCAAGGGGAAAGACACCACCTACCTGCTGAGCAGTATCCAAGGTCAGAACTTCAATCGAGTTGGCGAGTCATCAACTCGAGGGAGGAGGGTCATGGTCAGGTCCTCACAATAAGAATTGACCTCAAATCCAAGGAGGCAATAGAGAAAGAGGGACATATCCTCTATTATGGATACGGGACAACACCGGTATCAGGTTTAAGAAGAGACCAAGTTAAAGAGGTGAAGAAAATGGAGACAGATCCTCCAGTCTCCACCTCACGGGTTCCTCAGCCGGAGGCGAGCTGCTCGACCGTGAAGAGCGGCACGGAGGGCCCGACTCCAACCGTGGAAGGGTGTGTACCCACGGAGGAAGAACTGTTGTCAGAGGAGGATGGGAAATACCATGTCCCCTGTACAACAGTATGGGGTATGATGGGTTATGGAATGTGTGATGGCTCAAGAAAGGGGGACACAATAGATATTTAATATCGCAGTGGTTAACCCCCCCCCCCCTCTTACTCATTCCACATTCCACATGCACCTAATATGATCTAATAGACTATTCGAGAACTGTTTAGCTGTGGGTATATAACCCCAGGCCTGTGCAAAAGAGGGAATAAACACTTTGACGCGTACAGTTACCGCGCTAAATTCAAAATAAATTCTTTTGAGATAAATAGTTAGATAAATAGTAAATAAGTTGTAAATAGTTCTTTAAGTAGCTTTATCGTTATTGTTTTGTTACTTAGTGTAAAATAAATTGTGTTTAAATAAATTAGACTTTCTATTCACACGGAACCGACGAAAAACGTAACAATCTATTCCTATACAGGGTGTTCCTTAATGATATGCTAATATTTAAGTAGGTGATTCTTATAGATACATATTCTAAGAAAATAACTTCAAATGAATATATGTCCTAAACATCTTAACTTTTCAGATATAGAGTGGTAAAATTTTCTAATTTTTTTTTTTCAAAATATCTCTAATGTTATATTTGATACACGTCTTCCATGCATCAAAATGCATATTTTGATATACAAAAAAGATTATATTTCTTAATTTCCTTCCAACCGATGAAGAAATGAATTCCACACAACAGTCACCGCATCAGATTTTCTTTTTCAGCGATTTGACCCTGAAATAAATTGATTTTAATTTTTTAAGCAAAATCTATGCGTCCGACGAAAAGAATCAAAAGATAAAAAAATATTTTTTTTTTAATTTAGAAATGAATGGAGATCTTGAATATAATTTTTATTTTAAGAGAACTCGGTGGTCTACCACTTTTTTCTCCAAAAATATTCAATCTAAAACTCGTATGGACGGCACTGGATGAAATAAATAAAATTATTTGTACATCAAAAAATGTATTTTGATGCATAAAACATGTGTATTAAGTTTCATAAAGCTATCTATAATAAAATAAAAATTATTGTGAACATTTTTTTTAGAAAATTTAATATCAGAAATAAAGATGTTTAGAAATGAATGGAGATCTTGAAGATCACTCAGAAGCAACTCAGAAATGAAGATGTTTAGGACATACATTTATATGAAGTTTTTTTCGTAGAATAGGACCAAGAATCAGCCCTTAAATATTAGCATGTCATTAAGGAACACCGTGTATAAGTAATTCTAATACAAGCTCATTAATGGCTAGCCGTATATCGCATAACGGAAAAAAAATCTAAATAAGTAATTACTACTTACTTCATCAGTATATTCGTCAAATGGATCCAAGTTCTTTCTCAGTGTTCCCGAAAACAATACCGGTTCTTGAGGTATAATAGAAATAGTCGATCTCAGACGATTAAGGGAAATAGTAGCCGCATCTATATTATCTATAACTATCTTTCCTTCGTTAATAGCTAATCTGAACAGGGCCATAATAATAGACGACTTTCCAGCGCCGGTTCGCCCCACAATACCAACTTTCTCTGAACTCCTGATACTAAACGTTAGATCTTTCAGAACCAAAGCATCGCCGGCTACGTATCTTAGATTTAGGTGTTCGAATGTGATGTCTCCTTTCTCAGGCCACGATTTTGGAGGATCTCGTGTTGCTTCATCGCGTTCTGGTACTACGTCAGCGTATTCCTTTATTCTTTCTACACAGGTCATGGTGTTCTCAAGTTCACTCCATTGTCTCATTCCCCATTGGAACATTCCTGTTAAGTTCAGCGATTGAGAGATGGCTAGACCCACGCTACCTCCAAAGGTTTCTGGAATCAAAACATAAAACATAAATATAATTTGTATTTAAGTCACATAGCTGATAAAATAACCATCTGATGTAAGCATGATAAATGGACTACCTTAGAAAAAGCGCAGGTATATCTAAGATGAAAAAAAGGCAAACATCGAGGTCAGACGTATCATAAATGCATCGGAGGAAATAGTACTAGATCGAATCGAAAAATCCAGCATAAAATGGTTTGGATATGTTCTGCAAATGCCGGAGGTGGCCAAAAAAAGTTTTTCAATGCGCTCCCCAAGGCAGAAGAAAGAGAGGCAGACCTAGTAGACATTCAAAATAAGCAAAAAGTAGATTGGGTAAAGATAAGGCGACAAAACTTATTTCGATTTTTAGAGATTATTATATTTTTTCCTCCCAGTTGTATCACAGAAAACCAGGTCGAAGCAGTAATGGGCGGTGGATAAATACGGGTTCAAACCTTTGGGTATTTACCCAAATTTCAATATACCGGGTATTTGCACATCAATGGGTAAAAATGATTAAGTACCATAATATATTTCTTAGTTCTGATATCAAAGTTAGGTACCTTTTTTCTATTTTAATGTGAAGGATTTTTTTCTAGATTATTAGAGTGAGGTAATTATGTTTAAGGCACTTGTTTTTAAACAAAATGCTTAAAGCACAACAACCATGATTTGGATTGTGTGTGCATTCTCGAAAAAAATAATAATGGAAACCTTTTATGTTATTAAGTATTGATAAAGCAAAACTATGAATTAACTCGTGAACTAAAATCAATCAAAAATAACAGCACAAGGAAAAAACAATACAAACTGAAAATTACAATTAAATTGTGCTATCAACGTGGTTTTTACAAGAGTAGCATTCCAATAATTAAAGATTGTGCTATTTTACTAAATTTAGTATAAACGGAACTTACTTAACGTGATGCAAATAATATAGGTATGTTGTTCATTTGTACGTAAACGTTTTTGTTGCCGTTCTAATATTCTAAAAATTAGTGAATGTTTTGAATAAAAAGATTAAGAAAAAAGCATGTTTATCAACAACACTGGCGTTCTAGTTTTACTTAAAATATGTAAAAATATAATGTAGGGTAGACTCGATAAATAGGTCACTAGATGACATTTGTTTTTAAATTGTTAAAAAATATATTTCCAATAGAAATAAATCAGTTAAAATAAGTATTTAATAACAATAATATCAGATGCGCTACTGAAACATCTAAATCATACTGACGTATCCTAATCTTTTTTTATAAATTGTGAGTAATAGCAAAAAATGCAAGAAAAGAAATTCCAGTAATTATGTTAATTCTAAGTGAATTTCATAATTCATTGGTTTACTACAATTAACGTGTATTCGTGTTAGTTATTTTCCATGGAAAATTATCTTCTTATTTATCTCGATCTTAAACCGAGATCTACCTGCACAATTTTGCAATAATGTCAATGTATTGCAATAATGTCAATGTTAATTTAAGTGCTCAGTTCTGACACAATATCTTTCTAGATTTACTACCGCGAAATAAACTCAATTGTAGAATAAATAACATAAAACAAACTCAGAAAAGCACAACAGGTCCGCAAAATTTCTTAATTAAATTCAAATGTATCAACTGAAACGTCAAACAAAACTCTCAAAATTTGGGGTTCATGATGTTGATTCCGTATCTTAATGCACGAATACGGCGTAGCTAGCATTATACTCCTTCCGTAATCTTTTTATTCAAAAACTTAATGGAATAATCATTTGACTAATGTCAATTTTCTTCCCCTACGAGATGCGAGACCTTGACGTTGGTGGGGAAGGTCCCGGCCAGGGCACCGGAGGGGACCCCTCTTGCGCTCTGGCTAGGTCTAAGGAGCATCTCAATGTCTTGTCCCTGGCTGTAGTGTCGTGGCCAGGGAACTGCATCAAGACATAAAAACGATGCCGGACGGGACCTCCTTCGGGACTTAACGTCCGTCATACCGTAAGTCTTTCTTAGGAGAGACATGGGGGCTTTGGCTTTACTGTCTGAGCCGCGTGGATGAGGTACCACTATAAAAACCTCCCCAAATCCTACGGTATAGTGCGCGCCAAAGGGATGGATGGTCGGGGGGAAACCCGACCACTAGCGACTAACCTGGGATACCGGGCGACCTCCCAGCTCATAAATGCCTAGTCACGGTATTGCGGGGCTCTGCCGTGATGGTCGTTTCTTTCCCCTGCTACTCGTGGTATCATTATATGGACCAAAAAAGTAATAAACCCAATGACGAGGATGGATCAAACCGTCCCGATCCTTCTCCTAAGGAGGAGGAAACTAAGGAGCGTGGGACTATTCCTACCCCAAACAACTCACCTCAGCCGGATCAAGAAACAGAGGGGCCCAGATCCCCTTCGCCTGGGAAGGCAGAAGGTGAACCTCCTTTCGGGGTCTCCAAGCAAATGGAGAAATTATCCCTGGAAAAAAAAGGTTTGCAGGGGCGACAAGAAAGCTCCTCTCAAGACTTCTCAAGGGCGGAATGCCCTATGAGACCGCTCTGCAGTCGATTCTGCAGCGGCAAGCGGAGAAACAGAGGGCACAGATAAGTGGGGGTACCTCTTCCGGGAAGAGACAAATCAACCCGGAGGAGAATAAACTAATATTATATAATATAAACTAATATTATATATTATATATTATATATACTATAATGCAAGCACGCCTGAACAGAGCGCTAAGAAGCCTTGTAGGGAGGGCGCAAGAAGCTACGTGGAGGCTGCTGGGGAAATAAGGGTTGGAGTAATCCGACCTAACCACCCAGAGAACAGCCTATCCACCGAGCAACTCTTGTTGTTGAAACGTGGCATTATGAAGGGCGTGGACGCAAGCACAGAGGAAGGACTACAGGCACGCTTCCAAGGCTGCTCGATTCGGCCTGGATGGCTGCTTGTAATCTGTGCCGACGAGACCAGCGCTGCGTGGTTAGAAAGGATGGTCAACGACCTTTCGCCATGGCAGGGCATGGAACTCAGGGCAGTAAGGGGGCGGGATATACCCAAGCCTCATGTCTGTACGGCCTACATTCCCGATGATGAGACTGGAGAACGGCTCAGAGGGGATGTGGTGCTGAACAGACTTAGAAGAATGAATCTTAGCCTGCTAACTCAGGAGTGGAGAATCCTCCACCAGAGTGATGCAGGGCCGGGACAAACCTGGACCTTTGCGGTTGACGAGAGATCCATGGATCTCCTTCGCCGCAACGGATTCAGACGTACGTCGAGACGTACTTTGGGTTTGGGCAGATTACCTTCCGACCCAGAGATAAGGAAAATGAAACCAACACGGAGCAGACCAGGGCGTCAGTCTCGGGAGATGGTGGGGACCATCCTACAGCCTCTCGGGTGACGACTGACGCCACGAGGTCTGGCAACACTCAGAGGGAGAGAGCTGGAGGCAAAGTAGTGGCACTGAAAAACCCGGCCATGAAAGGGTCTAAAGCTAAACCCTCTGGAGCCTCGGGGAAGCCTGGCAACTCGAGTGGGAACAAACCCACCCAGAAAGGCAGGCGGAACGAATGTAGGTTTCCCACCAAAAGGGGACGTAGACCCCCTGATGGTGGGAGCAAAACCTAACTTTGACTACTGCAGGGATGGCTGCAGCAGTCAAATGTATACAAATTAACCTGCAACATGCCAAGGCCGCCTCTAACGTCCTTGGCAGAAGGTTCAAGAAGGAAGACGTGCATCTCGCCTTCATTCAAGAACCCTGGGTTAACTCAGGCCGCGTATGTGGCCTTGGGGACGCAGAGAGACTGCCCCTGGAGTAACCAGACCTAGGGCATGCATTTTAGTAAAAAAGAGCGTGCACTCTTTTAACCTTTATAGGTTCTGCTGTCAGGATGTGGTGGCGGTACATATCAAGATCTCAGCGGGGAGGAGCGGAGGAGGAGTGTAGTTCATTGCCTGCTCGGCATATTTCCCGGGAGACAAGACAGCGGATTTACCTCCTCCAAAGAAAGTGAGAGAACTAATCTCCTTCTGCAAGAGGAAAAACCTACAGCTGGTGATAGGATGCGACGTCAACGGCCACAACGAGGCATGGGGAAGCACGGACACCAACTTCAGAGGTGAGTTAATTCTTAATTACTTAATAGGTGAAGGGTTAGTAGTTAATAACATAGGCTCCGAACCAACCTTTGTTACTTGTAACAGGAAAGAGGTTTTAGACATTACGGTCAGCTCTAATTATTTGATCAACAGGATATCCAATTGGAGGGTATCATCTGAGCCATCGTGCTCGGATCACAGACACATAAAGTTTGAAATAAGCGTAGGTGAAAGAACTCTCCTGCAATATAGGGATCCTAAGTGCACGGATTTGGAGGATACAACCGCTCACTCGTGCATCTGCTGGAACCCACAATTGCAAAAGTGAGAGATCGCGACGAGATCGAGATTGCAGCGGAGCAACTGCGATGTGCAATTATAACGGCTTATAGTGAAAACTGTCCACTTAAAACAAAGAAGGATAATAAGAAGTCCTCTTGGTGGAACAACAAACTGGACAAAAGAAGAAAAGAAGTGCGGCAGCTTTTTAACCGCGCTAAAGTGTCAGGTAACTGGGAAACTTATCGTGCGACGTTGGCGGAGTACAATAAGGAAATAAGAAGGGCGAAGAGAGAGTCTTGTAGAAGGTTCTGTGGGAGTCTGGTCGATCTACCTCAAAGCACCAGAATTCACAAGATTCTCTCAAAAGAACCAGTGAATGAGCTAGGGACGATACAGCGCCCCGACGGTAATTTCACAGAGTCCAGGAAAGAAACGCTACAGATTTTGGCCCAAAAACACTTCCCAGGCTGATTGATACTAGTTGATGAAGAGCTACCCCCCCCGATACTCATGCATCGTAAAAATCGGCCCAAAAAAGAGGATTGGGAGATAGCGAAGAAAGTAATCACCTATAGGGAGACTAAAGGGGCGATCGAAAGTTTCGACCCATTCAAATCCCCAGGAGAGGACGGGGTGTTTCCGGCTTTATTGCAGAAGGCTGAGAACATTATCGTCCCTTGCTTATTTTTAGGGCAAGTCTGGCATGGTCACACCTGCCAGCTGACTGGACGAGAGCAAAGGTGGTATACATACCGAAAGTGGGGAAACAAAACCTACAACCTGGCTCATATCGACCAATAAGCCTTACATCATTTCTGCTGAAGACTCTGGAGAAGATATTGGATGGACACATTAGGGGGAGGATTCTTACGTCTAATCCCCTGAATGTCCGACAATATGCTTATCAACAGGGAAAATCAACAGAACTGGCCCTCAACAATTTGGTAGGGCAAATTAAGAGTACCTTTGATCGCAAAGAAATTGCGGTAGGGATATTCTTAGATATTGAGGGAGCATTCAACAATGTCACCCCTCAATCGATCCTAGGCGCTGTGAAAGCACGAGGAGTCGAAGCTACCATAACTGAATGGATTGAGCAAATGCTCAAAAATCGAGTAGCAACGACCTCGCTCAGTGGTGAGTCCGTTAGGTTTGTTCCGGGCAGGGGATGCCCGCACAAGGAGGAGTTCTCTCTCCTCTTCTGTGGACCCTGGTATATGAAACATACAGGAAATCCTAAATGCAATTCACGGCTGGTGCACACTGGAACAATTAAGTGTAAACCCACAAAAAACCGTGATCATACCATTCACCAGAAGAAGGAAAACAGACAAACTGAAACCGCCCATTCTTCTTGGTGAGACAATTCCGTTTGCGGAGGAAGTTAAGTATCTGGGATTAAACCTGGACAAAAAACTTAGCTGGACCTCTCATCTCGAAAAAACATCAAAAAAGGCTTGCTATGCTCTCTGGGCATGCCGCCGAATTTGTGGTAGAAACTGGGGATTAAACCCCGAAAATATGTACTGGCTATACGTGACGGCCATCAGACCTATTATCACGTATGGTGCAGTTGCCTGGTGGCAGAAAGCCAACCAAATAACGGCAAAGAATAAATTGTCGAAACTACAACGACAAGCATGCTTAGCGGTGACTGGTGCCTTCCATTCCACGCCGTCAAAAGCTATGGAAACCCTACTCGATCTACCTCCTCTTCAAATTCTTTTGGAAAGAGAGGCGAGATGGGCTACATATAGGTTTCTAAATATAGAACGAGGAAGCCAAGGAACAATTATGTTCATACAAAACCGCTAATAGAAGAACTACAGTCGGATGAGATTATGGGAATGATCTCGGATCTTACACCACCAGTCCAACTCTTGACGCGCACCTACAACGTCCTGTTTCCGAATAGGGACGAATGGGATAAGCCGGGAAACGGCTTATTACATGCGGAAATGTGTTGGTACACGGACGGATCCAAAAACGAAAAAGGATCTAGCGCAGGAATTTACTGCAGCAGTCCAAAGACTGAGATCTACCACAGTCTTGGAAAACACATCACGATCTTTCAAGCTGAGCTATATGCTATTGAAACCTGTGTGCAACTGCTGGTAGAACAACAATACACCGGGAAAACAATATGCATATTTTCGGATAGTCAAGCTGCGCTGAAAGCACTTGAGGCAACGAAAAGCACGTCTATGACGATTCTTCATTGTAAGAAACTACTCAATATACTGGGAGATAGGAACAAAGTGTCGCTAATATGGATACCAGGACATGTCGGCCTAGAGGGAAATGAACGTGCTGATTCCCTCGCTAAAATTGGTGCAGGCTCGCCATTCGTGGGCCCAGAACCGACACTTAGCGTTCCTAAAAATCTCGCAAGAGACAGGCTCTGTGAATGGGTTAGGAGTGAGACGTTCCGGGACTGGAATGACAGTCCCGGAATGGAACATGCCAAGAAAATCCTAGCAGGGCCATCCAAACATAGAACAGGAGAACTCCTAAGGGCCGGTAGGAATGGAACGCGTGTGCTCACTGCAGTGTACACGGGCCACTGCCGGCTGAGATCTCACCTACAGATGACGGGACTGGTGGAAGACGCCGAATGCCGACTCTGTATGGAAGATGATGAAACAATGAAGCACGTTATGTGTACCTGCCCCGCTGGGAGCAGGACCAGGTTTGAGATGTTTGGCAAACCCATGCTAGACCCATCAGACCTAGGAGACATATCGCCCTCAGACATAACGCCTTATATTAAGAGGCTGGGTCTTGAGGATGAACTTTGATGCTCTTGTAAATTAGAGCTTGTAGAAACTGAGCCACAATAGGCCCTCGCGGCCTCAGTGGAGGGTCCCCTATGGGACCCACTCTTAGTCAAATACAAAAAAAATGTCAATTTCATTTGACTAATGTCAAGTTTGATGTCCAATGATTATTACACTAATGTGTAATAATCATTTGACATCAAACTGCAGGAATGAGGAATGGGCATTAAATACAGATACGACAGCGCGCCGCGCGGCAGTCTGTTCAACATAAAACGACCCAGGGCAAAAGCACGTACAAAATTCATCACAGAATTTCAATACGCTGATGACTGCTCTCTAGTTACAAAAACGATAGAGCAATTACAAGAAATGCTGAACACATATACCTGAGGCATTAAGCTGAACATCGATAAAACTAAAATCATGTGCACTCCCCTGAAAAATCACAACAATGCTATAAAAATCAGAAAAGAACTAATGGAATATGTAGCGGAATTCAATTACCTCAGTAGTTTAATTTCGAAAAAGGCCAATATCGACTATGAAGGGCGATGGAATACAAGATTAGCAGCGCCTCAACCGTACCGTCGACACACGAACGCATTAAACAGGTTGCAACAGAGACACCTTAGCCTAAGAACATAGTGAAGCGACCAGGATAGCGGCGAGCAAGCAGCGCGACACCGCGTCCAAAACAAGCCTCTGAAGACAAGTACGTGTGAACATAGTAAAGCGATCTGCTCGAGCGGTTAGATCGAGCGGCGAGATCGATTCAAATAATTTTGTTTTCGTCGCTCTGTCGAAAACGATGGATTCCCAAAAATTAACAGATTTAGTGTTTGTAAGAGATATTTTATGGGACCAAAAAGATAGTAATCACCATAACTGGTACATTTTAGATAACTTATATGAAGTAGCAACAAATTTTCGTAAAGGTTATAAAACTTGCCACACTCTCTCCGGTTTTTGAAAATTTCATGTACACTACACCTTCTGGTTTGTTGGTTTCGAATCAGCCAAATGTTTGCGACACTACTGCCCAGAATTTTAGCCACTGTTAACATTTTAAATTATCAATAAGCAAATGAAAATAATAAATTTGCAAGTACCTCGCTATTCCTCGCCGCTCTACTATGTTTTAGCACCTCCAGGCTTGATCGACGCAATATCGCGCTGCTTGCTCGCCGCTATCCTCGTCGCTCCAGTATGTTCTTAGCCTTAGACAACTCTTAAGAATCAAATGATTCCACCATATCTCAAAAGTATCGGTCCTTGGTTACTAAATCCCGCTTAAGATGGGCTGGTATGCAAGATGCAAGTATACAAAATCTCTTCTTTACGGTGAGCTTGTAGACGATAAGAGGAAACCGGGTGGACAACTCATATGGTACAAGGATATTTTCCACAAAAACTTAAAAGGAATAAGAATGCAGCGGGAATGAGCGGCGCACAATAGAACGCAATGGAGAAGAATAATTGTAAACACAGTTAACAGCGACAACCAAAAAGTAAAGAGGCAACAAACAATGAAATTTTTGAATGTCAGGAGTGCGAAAGAGAGATAATATCACGGATCGGGCTTTTCAATCACAGGAAAGCTCTCGAAGGAAAACGCCTAGCGTAACCATCTACTGATGTATGTCAAATAATACTCGTCAGCGAGTAATGGCAGTAGTAGTAGTAATAATAATCATTTAATTATAGTACCTACTTACCTGTATCGAAAAATAGAAAACTAAGTGTGACTAGAGTGATAAAAACCACACAGTGCATGTCAAGCCAGAATCCAAACCCACGATTTGCCCCCAAAAACATGAAATAGGCCGAGCTGTAGGAATTTTGGTAGCTGTCAAATTCAGCTTTTAGTATCTCTTGGGCTCCAAATGCTCTAATAGTTGTTAAGCCTTGAAGGGATGCGGTCAAATGGGAATAAACTGGACTTCTTGCTAAAATACAGTTAATTTATTAAAATTTGTGTCGATCTGGTTTTCGTTCTTTATTAAGGGTGGCAATTTGAAGCGTAGAAATCGGGAACACATCTTAGTAATAATTCGAGACGGAGCAGCTTTGGTTTCCAATATATCTGAGATCTTTGCAATTTTTTTTTATCAAATAGAATGCCAAAATTACTGGGTTTCAAAAATATTACTAATTTCATCAGTAATATTTTTGAAAAAAATCAAACAATGGAAAACATTAACGCTTTTGAGATATAAAAAAATATATATAAAAATAAAATATATAACGCTTTTGAGATATAAACAGGTCACTGAAGGTAAAATTGAGGGCAGGAAATTAGTGTGAAGAAGACAAAACTCCTGACTTAAGGATCTGCCTCGTTGGTTTGGAAGATCATCTATTGAAATTTTCAGAGGTGCAGTTTCACGCACCATATTATTTATGGTGCGTGAAACTTTATATAAACAACGCTTTATTGTACAAAAAGCCAAAACGGCTTCATCGACAAAGCACTCACAAAATAAACAAAAGCACAAAAAAATACAAACAACAATACACAATACAAATAATACAATTCAAAAAAATTTAAGTCATTAAAATAACAAAAATAATATACATGGACAATTGCAGAACAGTACGCAGTAAATAGATATAATTTTAGAGTTATAAAATATTAAATACTTGACTTTTGTGTGTGAGATGATCAAAATTTTAAAATTCAAAGAGTTGTCTACAACAAGTCCTAAGAATTTCACAGAGTCCACGACGTCAATAGTGGTGTTATTGAGTACAAAAGGTTGTATAGTACTTTTATATGACAAAACTGTAGTTTTTGATAGGTTGAGGCATAGGAGATTAGAATCGCACCGAGATTTAATGGTTCGTAAGTCACTGGATATAGTATCATATAGTGCCGTAACATCTGGGCCGCTCCAAGTGAAACTAGTATCGTCGTAAAGATATCGATATCGTATCGTCCATATCATATAGCCAGTTGGATCACCAACCCCCAACGAAGACGACGACCCAAGAAGAAGAATAAGTACCTCTTCTTGGTTTATCCTCCAATTTCTTGATATCTATTTCAGATTTTCCTGATAATATATTATATTGTTTAAGAAATATTCCTGATTTCTATTACGTTCCAAATTTACCAAATTCCCAAATTGTGACCAAATATACTAGATATTTATATCATAAACTAAAAAGCTGCATATAACAATAAAGAAGGATACTTACTTATTCCTTCTAGTCGTTTGATATCTCTACTGGTAGCTAAGAATACCACTCTCATAAAATAGAATATTGTCAACATTATAACTGTTGGTAACAACATCCAAGGATTTACTGTCGTAATTACGGTTGTAATAGCAACAACGGTCAGCGATATCTATAACAATAACAATATTAAATAATATTTCGTCCTGACTTCTTTTGAGACTATTTATAATCCCCAAACCCAATAAATAGTTAAAGAAAAAAATATATAAATAAATTCCTTCTTGTTATTAATTTCACTCTCTAAAACGGCCACTACGATACTCGCGAAATAGGCCGAAGTAGGTCAAAATCGAATTGGAAAGAGGGTTGGTTATTTTGTATTTTCTCATCTGATGAAAATAAGCCAAGACGAGGAAATACAAAATATCCCTCATCGCTATTCGATCTTGAGCTATTTTGGGTTATTTCACGAATAGTACAGGCAGTTTAAAAGTACACATAAATAAATATACTTTAACCAAATTTAATTTTTTAATATAGAAATACATATTATGAATAATTATTACATTTTAATAATAACAAATGTCAGAAATTTTTATGACTTCAACCCTTAGTAAAACTGAAAATACTGAGCGTTTTTCAATTGTGGCTTACCGTATAAATTTTTCATTTCTTTTAGATGCAAAAACGAGATTTGGTATGTTAGTATATGACATAAATCGGGCTGATTGATATATTCAATGAGTTCCGATCACTTCCTGCTTCACCGGAAATTACTACAATTAGTAATTTTTAAATGGTACCCTCAGAATTTTTTTAATTTATTTGATAGAAAATTTCATGATATGTAATTCCAATAGAATCACATATTATGAAGGGTCAGGGGAAAAAAGCATGTAATTCTATTTTATTGTTATATTTAAATATTCTGAGCATTCGGTTCAGAGTGAGTGTAAGCATATTTAGAAGACGCTAAACTAAGAAAAAAACAGCCTAGTCAGAAGATATACAGCGTCAAAGTTATACTATAAACGAAAAAAAGTCAAACAGTACTATTTTTGTAACATTTTGAACATTAAGTCTATTCTCATTTTAGGGAGAAATTGGCCAACCTGCTATTTTCCCCTGGCTCTTCATTTATGTCAAATTCTGATATTTTCACTTAAAAAGAGAAATAGTATTTTTAATATTAATCTAGAATGTCATGGCTTTTATAAAACTTCTAATTCTTATTCAAGGAGCCTTGGACAAATAGATTTGATCGTCTAATATTTTTCGTGTCTTCCTGGCAGGATAAAAGATATCCAAATTGAATTTTTATTCATAACTCAATATTTTCAAATATAGAACTCTGGCTTAATATTTGGAAAAAAAACATTTTTACGAACTATTTCATACCACATACCCAAGCAGCATTTGGACGTCGGGACAACGTTGTGTCACGCAACCAAACGTCGGGGCGCAACGTCGGCACAACCTCGTGCCAACCCTAGTCTGCACTAGTTTGGACAATAATTTTAGGGTCGAAACGACGTTGGCTAGCAGCCAAATTTAGTACAAACTGCAACGTTGTTTAAAATCCTAATTCACAGAAATACAAAACTATAATAATATGGCGTCTAAGTCGCGTTTTATCCTAAATTGGGATAATTATAGTAAAAATATTATTTTTATGATTTAGTTAGAGACATATGCCAGATGGCAGTAAAGGAAAACAAAACAAAAGTATTTAAGTGTGGAGGATGTTTGAAGATCATAATTATTGAAACACTTTAATCGACTCTGTAACTCGTTACCCAACGCAAAAAAGTTAAACGTAAACAACTTTATTGATAAATGTATTGTTTCTACTTTGAAAAATACTAATGGGCCTTAAAATTACAGAAGTTTTAAAAAAATTTTTGAATTTTTTTTAGTAAAATGAGAATAATTTATTCGCAGTCGAAAAAATTGTTTCCGCGTGTTGTTTAGGGTCAAATATTTCAAGTTAATGTATTCAAAAAGCAGGAATTGCTATGTTGAATTGCAACTATTGTTGTTTTGGAGATTAAGATGGAGTAGTTCGAGTAGTCGCATACTGGACTAATAAAGTCGCAGTTCAGCCTTAACAGGTAGTATACTAGTCGCAAGATTGCCTAATTTAGTCATCCTAGAGTCTAGCTTGTGCAGCCCTCTATATTTTAAATAAACGAGGGAGTGGATAAAGTATCGGTAATATGTCGATGAATATTTAAATTTAGTTTTATATGTACCTTTCTTATGTCCCATTTTAATTAAGTTTTTTTATAAAAACAAAAACAGCACTGAACTGTCTGACTGAACAGAAAAATGAACTAAAAATTTAAGATTTAAGGTTATGGTTCAATACAGTTGCAAAAAGGTAGTGGCTCGACGTCCTACCAACGTAAGAATAAGGAAATCTAAACAACGTTGGAATTAGTAAAACAGACGACGTTTGCATAACGTTGGAATAGGTGCTGAAAGTGACGTCGGAAAACTCTTTATTGCCCAACATTGTAACTATGTTGTCCGAATCACCTAAAGATCACTTAAACAAAAAAGGTTATAAGACAACGTTTATTCGACGTCGCAGAAGCTTTTACTTTGTTGTAGTATTAGTTCAACAACGTTACAACAACGTTTACATTTATTTTAATACCCAAGGTACGGAGCTAACTATTTTTTTGTAACTAATCCAACGTTGTGTTTAGTAAATATGTGGTCGCAAGTCGTGAAAATGCTACTTGGGTAATGGTATTTCGAGTTAAATCCTCGATCCTCGTTATATTTATTGCGGTGGCAGTCTAGATGGACATTTAACATAAAAATTTTTAAGCGAAGGCTATTCAGAATGTCATTTTCTATCAAATAAAGAAAAAAAAATAGCGAGGGTACCATTTAAACATTAAAAGTTGTAGTAATTTCCGGTGAAACAGGAAGCAACCGAAACTAATTGAATACGTCAATCAATTTACAAAAAAAAATAAAAAAGCTATAGGGTTTTTCAAAACATACTTTTGAAAAACACTCGTTATGGATAAATTATAATCTAGTTTTTAATATTCGTTAAAAACTCAATTTTACAAACCTGCAAAGTATCAAGTAAAGTAAGAGGCAATATTTCATCTACTTGATTCATATCTTTAGAGAATCTGTTAAGGATTCTTCCTGAAGTATTGGTGTTAAAAAATCGCATTGTGGCATATACTATCTTATAAAACATATTATTGTGCAACCTAATTGATGCTTTGTTACAAAATCTATAGAAAACTAATGATCTGGTTATTGTCATTAATATCACCATGAAAACCATCACTGTATATGCTATTGTTAGAACTTGATCTGTCATATGTGTAAGCCAGAATTCTTGAAAAGGTGTATGCTCAATTATAATGGAGTTATTTTTGGAGAGGAAACTCGAATCGTTATATGTGTTAGGATCAACGGTGAAAGTTCCATGTTCTAATAATTTGACCATTCTAGATATTTCTTGGTTTTTAAGATACGCCTCATTTTCTTCCATTTTCTTGATTTGGTTCATATTTACCCTAAAATAAAAATAACTACTAAGTCTACTACCTTACAATAAAAAAAATAATTGCATTAAACTTATTTCTGGTTTGCAGTTTTTTAAATATAGATATGAACTAGAATTAAAAAAAAATATGCATCACATAGTGAGGGTGAATCTTATATAAGTGTACGTAGTTTTAGAAGTGGTATATTTCAATTCAGTTTCGATTCGTCTACCAATCTCAAGGTAGTGGGTTCGAATCCCACACCAGGCATTTCATCAGCCGACTATTTTTATTAAAATAAAAATAGTTTGAGTACCTAGGTCGACTCAGCCTTAAATGAGTACTTGGGATTCACAATCCTGAGGTAATAATAGGCGGTTGAAGCGTCGTGCTAGCCATATTACCTTCCTTGTATACCAAACGGCTCTAGAATGGCAAGCTGTACCTTGCTACTCCCAAGGCGTAAAACGCTATATACGGGAGCTATTATTATTATATATTTCGATTCCAGGAACGCTTCTACAGAGTTTTTTTGCAAAAAAATTAAAAATTTTGTATTTTTCGAAAAAAAATATTTTTTTTAAATTTTCAGTTAAAAACCCTAATATCTTGATAATATATGGCAACATAGGTATTAGACTAAATTAAGAGGAACAAAAAAAGAGTGGTTCCGAATATTTAAAAAATATATTTTAAAGTGGAAAGCTCTAGCTCTTTTGGTCTTATTTGTTGACTTTTTTATCTTTCTTCTTTTATCGAGATCTACCAGCTCTCAAAATATGTGCAATTATTTAAAACTCATTCTGTATATTTTATATTTGCAATCAGAAGTGGAATTCAGGATAATTTTGACGGGCTTTAAAAACACAAGATAAATAAACCGGACTATTTTTATAGTTGGCACAAGAAAACACAATAAGAAATCGAACAAAACAAAAGTTAATAGAGAATTTCATGGAAAATGGTCTTGAAGTTTTTTGATTAAATCTGATTTTTGCTTTATACCAGGATCATTTGCTTTATCATAAACTTTGGTGGAAAACTAGCCTCTGTGAAGCAGTCTCAGATACTGGCTTTTGTCAAAGCCGTAAGAATGTATGATGAGTTAGGACTCGTTATACTCAAGAAAGGGAGACACACAATAGATCTGTAAGATCGCGGTGATTAATACTCCCAAACATTCTACATTCTATATTTATATACTTTTTGTGATGAAAAATAAAGAACTTTTATGGGAAATTATATAAGAATTCTTTTAATAATCTAAGAAACTCTAAATCCAATGGATCACAAAGCCGGGTTCTCACCTGTCAATCAATAACACTGCTTCAAAGTTACTGGTCGAATAAAGAACATGACAACACAGTTTCAGTGTAAATTATCAGTATATTCATACTTTCTGTAAAACTCAAAGCTATAGTTCTAGCACAGATTAGGTATCCTATAAGTATACAGATAAAAATCTTGTCCCTAATTCATGGTACGAAAATTGTTTTTTATGACGATGTGCAAACGAGTCAAATTTCCTGTGCGCAAAAATAAACTCGCGTAAAATAACAATAAACAGCGTAATAGAGAGATATCGCTAAACCGAATAGCGTGCATGGACGTTAATAAGGCCAGGTGTTATTTCCTTTACGGGAGGTGATATTAACTCTCTTCATTTATAGTTATCGGATCGGAAAGAATGCTGATCGCGTCGCGTCCGCTGTTTAAACTTAACCTAACTTTGAATTTAAAACTTTGAAATTGTTTTGTTTACTAGGTATTTTAAAACTAAAGGCCTAAAGTACTTATTTCCAGTGCTTTATTGTTCAACGTCTGCCAGTGGGTTTAGGGCAACAAGCAACAAATTCTCTTAGAAGGGCTAAGTCGTCATCTGCTGTAAACCTAAGACTCTTTATAGGTTCTTTAGTATTGGAAGAGGTGGAATCCATATTTTGAGCCATATTTATTTAATTAAAACTAATCCCAGCTACTTAAATATCAAATTACCTAATAAAAATAAAGTAATAATTCAAAACAATTCAAACATAACCTAAAATAAAAGATCTCGTTAGTCATTGATCTCGCCGGCCGGCTCCGGTTGTCAAATACCCGCACATGCCCATTTAAGCAATTTTTAAACGTTATAAGAGGTTATTTAGAAAGAGCACTTGATGTAATTGATCCGCAAATTACGTCAGGCGGTAACGTTATTAGCGGGTGTTGCGTTAAAAATTGACTCGCGCATATCGTAACCATGATAAGGTACGCGTAAATACTGGATGACGCTCTTCGGTTTTCCGATATCTCTCTAATAACTGTGCCGGGCAGGCGCTGTGCACAATTTTAGAGGCCATAAGTGGGCGGGCTATGTGCGCAAACTAGTCACCTAACTAGTGCCCGATTCCGAAAATTGGAACCACGAAAAACAATAAAGAAAAAACAAAGATTGTAATCTGTATAATCTGTATAATAATGTGGTTCTAGTTTAGTTCATTACGGCCGAACCACGTATACAAACGCAAGTGTGAAAATATTTTTTTGTTCCGTTTTCCAAGTTTTGAAGAACTATTGACAGAATTGGCTGCCGAATCTAATTGTTTTAATATAGTTTCACTAGCACTCCTTTTATTTCTGCTTAATGTCCAACGCCTAACCCACCATGAACGTCCTTTCATTCATAATTTTGATACATCCGAATATTTTGGAGTGTTATGTTAACTCATGTGCTACTTGTATACATATTTTACGAATAACTGGTTCTAGTTTTGTAGACATAAATGAAGGGTGTCTATATTCGATACCAATTAAATTTAGTTACGTAATCGAGGGCGCGATTTTTAAATTTATTGTTGCCAACCATGGACATATTCTGCACCGAGCTGACTAACTGGAATTTAAATTTCCCTCTGAGCATTCAGGTGCTAAACATTCGTGTTGACACTTTAGTTTTGTATTACGAGTTTTTGGTTTAAATGAGTTGTGTTGTGATAATTTAAACTTAAAAATTTCAACTAGGCAGTCGACCAAAGTTCTTTTTAGAACCTCTTTTAGTGCGAAGTGTACAAGATAGCTTAAGAGTCAGAAAAATTTAGTAGGTAAGTAAAGGTGAGTTATGTTGATGTAAATAATAACTGTTTATATACAGGGTTGTTCACCACATACGACACGGAGTACTGTAGCTAAACAATTACATTTTTACAAATCGTATGTTTTGGGTTCGTTGAAGGACTGTTAGCGGTACAATTTAAAAATTGTTTTACAAGATACAGAGTGTCCCAAATAAGTAAAAAATATTATAGTTGTATTTTTTTTAAATTGAACACCCTGTATATTTTTCTATTTTTAGATTCTACGGTTGAAATAAAGGTAAATTTTATTAAGGTTTATCATACTTAAACCTTACCGTTTTTGAAATAATTTCAATTTTGTGAAATTTCAGTAAAAAACTTAAGGCTTCATTTCTCCAAGGGTATTAAAGGTTTTAATACTAAATATTTACTGAAGATTATTTATTGATCAGATGTTGTGTTGCAATAATAAAAATTATACTACCTTATACAGAGTGTCCAAAAATGTATATCAAATAATTACTAGCTTTAAACGGCAATAACTTGTTTAATTTAAGTAGAACACCCTATATATTTTGCAAGAGTCAGATGCACAATTTAATTGTCTATCAAAATGTATTATATCATTCTTTACCTATCTCTTCAAGTTTTCGTAGAAAATGCATTTTGTTATAATTTAGACCTCATTTATCACTATACCCATGGAATATGGACATTTTAGATTCTTTTACATCAACATATTTACAAAATATACAAGTGGTAAAAATAATAATATTGCAAGCTCATTTGTTTACAAAAAGAAAACTATTTAAATCTTTGTAAAAGAGTATACCCATTAATATTGATTATTAATATACCACCATTATTTCCGCCCAAAAATTAGTTAATTACATACTTAATTGTTTTAATTAATAAATAAATGATTCTAAATAAATGTGGATTTGACTCAGAAATCGATACAATAATAAGTTATGAAAATGAACGTCTCTGTTGTTATAAATAAGCATTTGTCAAAAAATGAAATAAAATTTATAAGGTGTTACTTTTTATCACACTGTCTAATACAATAATATAAATATACATACAAAATTCAGTTTTTTAGTATTTGGAGCAATTATTATTAATCAACGTAAACGGTAAATTAATGTAGTTTGAATAGTGGGATCATATTAATTGGTCCCCTTTAACAAAAAATATTTAAACAATTTTTTTATCTTTTAATGAAATAAGCGAACTATATCGACAATCTTAGTATCTGTACCATTTGAAAATTTGTTACATCTTTAAAAATAATTTAAAATGTCAATATTCCATGGGTATAGTGATAAATCAGGTCTAAAAGAAAATGCATTTTCTATGAAAACTTGAAGAGATAGGTAAAAATGATATAATACATTTTGATAGACAATTAAATTGTGCATCTGATTCTCGTAAAATATACATGGTGTTCCAGTTAAATTAAACAAATTATTGCCGTTTAAAGCTAGTAATTATTTAATATAAATTTTTGGACACTCTGTATAAGGTAGTATAATTTTTATTATTCCAACACAATATCTAATCAATAAATAAACTTCAGTAAATATTTAGTATTAAAACCTTTAATACCTTTCGAGAAATGAAGCCTTAATTTTTTTACTGAAATTTCACAAAATTGAAATTATTTCAAAAACGGTAAGGTTTAAGTGTAATAAACCTTAATCAAATTTACCTTTATTTCAACCGTAGAATCTAAAAATAGAATAATATACAGGGTGTTCCATTTAAAAAAATACAACTATAATAATTTTTACTTATTTGGAACACTCTGTATCTTGTAAAAATATTTTTAAATTGTACCTCTAATAGTCCCTCAACGCACTCAAAACTTACAATTTGTAAAAATCTAATCATTTAGCTACAATACTCCGTGTCGTATGTGGTGAACAACCCTGTATTTATAATTAATTTATTTTTGTTTCCTAAAATATTTTGATTAAAAGAAAATATGTAAAAGTGGACAACGATGTGCCGATCAAGCTTAATCACGTGACTAAAAGTTTATTTGATATGAAGTATAGATCAAATGAATTTACTCAACCAGCAAAATAAAATGTGTGAATAGTTCAAGCGCATCACTGTTTCGTCTTTCATTAATAATAAATCAGGAAGACTGACAAGTGAGCCTTCAAGTACTTTATTATAGATATATTAAAAAATAAAAAATATATTACCAGAATGTCAAAAAATAATCACATAAACTTCCCAGAGCTTGCGTCATGGCAAATATTAGGAACAATACTAAAATTTTACACCAATGACCTCCAGAAACAAAATACGACTTGTATACATCCCAGCCAATATTACCACTTCCTCTAGATTCCTTTTCGATTTGGGGATCCTAAAAATTATGTAATTTATATGACAAGCACTTTTCAATATTTCTATTTTACCACCTTATCACTTTTTGGCACGACTTCCTTTGTTGACACTCTTCGTCTTCTGACTGGCTTGATTTCTTCAATTTCTTTGGTTTCGTTTTCTTCATCATCTTCTTCTTCGTCAATGATCTCTTCAAGATCACTAAGAAGTTGCGTAAAGGTTCTGCCGGAATTCTGTATGTCTTCATAAGTGCCTGAATGTTCGATGGTTTTTCCTCCAAGAAGGTAGATCTTCTTGACGCTTTTCAAATACTGTAACTGATGGGTAACTAAAACAACACACTTGTTTTTCAGGTAACCGGTTATGCAGTCTTCAAAAAGCTGTTTTCCCACGTGGGCATCGACGGCAGATAACGGATCGTCTAACAGGTAAATATCGGCCTCTTTGTAAACCGCTCGGGCGAGATTGATACGAGCCCTTTGACCGCCACTAAGAGACACACCACGTTCACCCACTATAGTACGATCACCATACGGAAATAGAGTAAAATCTCTTTCTAAGGCACACACTTTAACAACTTCGTAATATCGCCGAGGGTCATAGCGTTGACCGAAAGTAATATTCTGTCGTACACTACCCACAAATAACCACGGTTCTTGAGACGCATACGAAATTGAACCACTCACGTCCACACTACCGGACACTGCCTCTAATTCACCGAGAATCGCGTGCAACAGAGTTGTTTTACCGCTTCCAACTGGGCCAATCACCGCAGCTAACTGACCAGACTCCACATCAACATTTAGATGATCTAAAGAATTATCTTCAAGTGACTTAGTCCATTTTACTGAAACATCATTTAGATGAATACCAACTGGTTTGGTACTTTTCAAATTTTCTTGGGTACTAATCGATTTTACCTTTTCACTAGATTGAAAAGCATTTAGAAATGTTGAACTTGAGTCAAGGTGGACTTCATCGTACAGCAAGAATTGTTTAATTCTTTTTACTGATATATTCGCTTCGGCAAATTGAGTGACGCCTTGAGGGAAGAACATGGTAACGGTACTTCTTAGGATACCGTAAAAAGAGGATACTACGTAGACGTACTGAGCGTCTAATACGTTCCCAGTAAGGAAATACACTAAAACGCATATGTATATGGCAGTCGAGTTTAGGAACATATTAAATGACATCATGATGGCTCTTATTACAGATATTTTCTTGATTTGTTGAATCTCTTTCCTAAAATGAAAAAAATGTTCTATTAATATAATTATAATAAACTCGCCTTTCTAATAATATACCTAATCTAAACTTTCTAAGTAAATAAATGCAAAGTGCCTACTTTTTTATACTAATTCACCACAATACACCAAAACACTATATTTTTGAACACACGTTTCGCATGGTTAGCGAAACGCACGTCCAGTGCAAAAGTAAAGTGTTTTGGTGTACTGTGGTGAATTAGTGTTTTATTTTGCTGTTGTAACACCAAAGGTTCCAACCCTCAACTGTAACCTACTTATTTAATGAAACCGAAATTTGTTTTTATATTTTTGGTAATTAAGGCAACCATCATATCTAAATACAGAGTGAGTCGTAAATAAGTGCAAATATTTTCAGGGCTGATAAATCTCGATAAAAGAAACATATTTTCTCTTTACTGTTTTTCAAGTAAGTCCAAAATGAGCGAGTTATTCAAGTTTTAAAATTAAAAAAAATATAATTGTTTTTTGCTTAAATTTTAAAAACCACTGGATCTTTTATGTATATATATTACTATATTAATCTATTACCTATGTTGCCATATTATCAAGAAGTTATGTTTTTAACTAAAAAATTAAAAAAAATCCAAAATATTTTTCCAAAAATTTCAATTTTTAAAATGTTTTTTTCGCCAAAGAAACCTCATAATCGTGTTTCTGGGATCGTAATATACTACCCCTAAAAATATTTCCACCCATTTAAAACTGACCCTGTATAAAGATGACTCCTTATATAACTTTTTACCATTTCTATGTTTGAAATATTTACCAACCGATATATTCTGTAAATGGATCATCATTGTAGTCAAAAACTTAATTAAATTTTTAAGGACGTTTTAAAAAATTCTTTCAATTTTGACACCTATACTAATCTATATAGGTCTATTTGAATATACAACGCTAACATTTTTGTGTTTTATTGTTAAATGCTGTTTTTTATGTGTTTAAGCGGCATAATCTGGGATTTATTTTAACAGAGAAATAATTGCTTTTTGCGATGCATAAAAAAATACTAGTACATATTTAATTTATATTTAGATATTCAAAAAGCAGTCAACCAATTATAGTTCATGTGCATTATAATTCCAATTTGATTATTTTTTACTGATAAATGAACGATAGAGTTCAATCAAACATTGTTTAGAAACATTTAATAAAGAAAGTCAAGAAAAAAATATATGAATAGTACAAATAATAATAACACGGCACTGGACAATTTTTTGAAAGCTTATAAAAAGGCAAATTAAATTATTGGCAAATAAAAGGGATATCTATATAGATGAAAACTGAACATTAGTGAATATTTCAATAAGCAAAATACTCAGAAATATGCTATGTCACTGAATTCTACATAAAAACTTTTAAGAAATCATTTTTGCATTTTAAATAAATTCTCAGAATAGTGAAATGTATGAGGCATCTAAATTTGCACTGTTTTCGTTATTACTCTGTAGCATATTAACTAAAAGATCTGATAATTTTGTTACTGCATCCTTTGGCTTCGCAAAAAATTATCTCGCGTTTGTGGACATTGCATGGTTTTATCTTTATTATTATAACTACTAATTACAAACTAATAAACTGTTAACTCTGTATTTGTGTATTGTGTATCATGTTAGATATAGGTCTATTAAATAAGAAATTTACTCAACTAACCTTCTACTGATTTCAACAAGCTTGGCAAAGGGAATTTCCCAAGTAGGTATACATTTTAATGACTTGAATTCCAGATATGATTTCATTCATCAACCTAATTCTTTCATCAGTTTTAATGGCTGTAGCCAATCGATACTTAGAAGTCTTCTTGCCCATCCACACTATAAAATATATTATTATATTAATTTAAAATATTTCATTTAACTGAAACTGAATTGATGACTTACTTTGAATTGGTATAAATAACAACATGAATACAACTCCAGCTACTCCAGTTAGGCCAACATAAAAATACATCAATATCAAAACAACTATAGTTTCAATGGGTGCTAGCCATAAGTTATGTATGTGCGTGGTGACAGTTTCAAATCTTCCAACGTCGTTTGATATCAGATTGACCATTTGCCCAACGGTTGTATCAGCCAGTGCACTTTTACTGAGTTTCAAGGCCTTCCTGTAGACTAATGTTGAAGTCGCCACCCGTATTTTTGCACCTGAATGTATAGTTTAATAGTTATATACAGTCAAAATAAAACACTGATTCACCACAATACACCAAAACATTTTATTTTGATGAATTGTGGTGAATTAATCAATATTTTGATTTTTTGAACTAGGCGCGCGTCGCTTACTATATTAGCATCATCGGCAGATGATTAAAACTAAAAAAAAGCTTTAAAGTTTTTTACGACGTTTGTTTCAATACCAACGAAAATATATTCTAGACACTTTGTTTCTTTTACAAAAAAAGAATTATTAAGAACCTTTTATTTTGGTTTTTATTGAATCGTACCAACTTTCAGAAAGGGTAACAAAAAGGATTATATTAACTATCGAGGAATCACACTTCTTGGCATTGACTCTAAAGTGTATGAGCGAATACTGGAAGCAAAACTCTTAAATCAAATTGACAACAAACTCGAGGAATCGCAGAGTGGATTTAGGAAAGGCCATAGTATACACCATCATATATTTACAATTATCAAACAAATAACGGAAAAAATCAGAAATAGAAATATCCAGGTTTACCAAGCCTTTCTTGATCTTGAAAAAGTCTTTGAAAAACTTCCAAGATCTGAAGTTCGGAAAACCCTAATATATAAAAACATTGACCAAAACTTAAGACGAGCAATAATGTGTTTTTATTCCGACACTAGAGGCTATGTAAGGACCGATATTATGCATTCAGAAGAGTTTCCAATTCGCGAAGCTGTTCGATAGGGATGTGTCCCTAGCCCAATTCTATTCAATTTGGTTATGGATGATGTCATGAAAGAAAGGGCAAGAGACATCTAAACTTCTTGTTGAGTGTCAGAATATGCAACCTGTGTGGATCAATGAATGCGGTTTCGTTGACGACATCGTTATATTTGCAAGGAACGAAATAAAACTTAAAAGGAACCTCAATACATGGAACAACAAGTTATCTACCCAAAAACCTTAAATTAAATGAGAACAAAACAAAAATAATGATTAGCGGAAAGAGTGAAGCAATAGTTAACATAGAAATAAATGATCAGATACTAGAGCAGGTAAATTCTTTCAAATATTTGGGAGTCCAAAAAGAAAGCCAGGAACACCAAAACCAAAAGATAACTGCATGAGTTCAAAGCGCTCCAAATCTATACCATAACATAATGAACACCTTTCTAGGTAAAAAAAAGAGATATCACTGACGACCAAAATCAGCGTGTTTAATTCAGTATTCGTACCAGTATTAACATTCGGTAGTAAGAATTAGGTTTTGATTGAGGCAAGAAAGCTTAATACAAACAATAGAAATGAAATACCTACGAAAAGGGCTAGAGGTTACGAGGATGAATAAACTAAGCAATTCCGATATTAGAGAGCAGCTGAAAGTCCAGCCGGTACTAACAACTATCGAAAACTGTCAGTTGAGATGGTACGGACATTTGACAAGACTACACAAGGAGAGGCCAGTAAGAAGAGTATAGAAGTATAGATGACAAAAAGGTAGGAAAAGAGGAAAAAGGGTAGACCTGCAAACCTAACTGCAACTACTTGGGATCAAAATGTTGCAAAATTACTGAAAACTAGAGGGATCGGCTACGCCGAAGCAAGACAAAAGGTAACATTTTGTTTATGGAAAGAAGTAACTACTAGAAGCTAATCCTTCGGGTAGAAGGCCTTCGATTATACAATATAAAGTCGTAAAACACTTTAAACCGCTACGCTCTCCTGAAAAATATCAAAAAATGAGTTACGCCACTTCGTGATATCTACGACAATATGTTCTTTAAATTTAGTTAACATTAATCTTCTACGTAGTTTGCCCAATATATTTTTGATTACAATCATTATATGAAATTTCATAAATACCCGACCTTTCCAGTCCATGTGTTTTATAATTAGGTAACCCTTTAGATAATATGAACAGAGATAATAATCCAATTCTTTCCTGATTCTATTACTCTAGTCTCGATAATTAATTGTGACGTTGTTAGTGTTGTCTCGCTTGGCTAGATTCCCCACGCTTGGTGAGTGCCAACAGAACGCCTATTTAAATGCTCAATTTGTAAATGATGGAACAGGCTTACAAAATGCATTTTGTCCATTTTTTAAGATTTTCAACCAAAGTTAGCAGAGCAAACTACCTATATATATACACAAGGTCAGTAAGATACTGTGGAAATACTGCTATTTGTTTGTCGTTGCCAGATGAAGAGCTATTTGTACTACAACTTCTCAATTTTTTTGAATAATACTACTTTAATGAATGGAACTACGACTGGGAACTATGTAGTTGGGAATACGGACCGTGGTAGCAGAAAAATAAAGAAAAATTTCAGATTTAAAAGACATTCAACAGTTTTTTTAACTTTTTTCAGGTATCATAAAAACTAGATTTTTCATATGTAGGTAGGTGTACTATTTTTATTATTTATTATTTTAAGTCTACTAGTTTTTCAGTAAGTTTCCTGCAAAAAGCGTAGCAGTTTTTCTTTATTTGTCAAAATTCGAAAAAACTGACAAAATGCATCTAGAGTCTGCTCCTCAAATATTAGTTTAGTTTTAATCATCTGCTGATGACGCTAACATGGTTAAATGCAAAAGTAAAGTGTTTTGTTGTATTGTGGTGTTTATTAAGTTCTCTTTTGGAGAATTTTCTTCCAATCCGAATTAACTATTAAAAATGTATACATTTTTATATAATAGTTAAGTCACACTGTACACTTACCTAAATGGAAAATACGTAACATATAAGAATGCTGAAATGCAGATGATAGAAACGAAGTTACACAAATACCAGCGGCGTAATAATATGCTTCTTTTTTCGTCATGGTAGAGTTGGGATCGTAGTACAAAAGAAATTGAGAGAGAAGCAATGGTTGTGACAGCCTGAAATGATTAATTAAGTTGTATGAAAGTTGGAGAAAAGAAAAGAAAAGCAATGAGTGATAAAGGATTGATTTTGGACTTCCATTGCTTTTATTTTTGTTGTGAATAGTTCAATGTTTCAATTGTTATAATATATACAAGGGTAATATAATAAGTCTCTATCCTCACCACTCATATGGATGTACCAAAATCAATCGTTAATTGCCTTTTTTTAATTTCTTGGATTTGCATACCTTACAAATATTTCGATACACAAATAGCAAACGCCTAGAATAGAGAGTTCTTTTCCAAAAACTTTTGCCAAAGCTTTCCATAACGATGGATTATTCGGTTTCTTTTTCAGTTCTGTATGCCATTCTCGGTCCAGTTTATCCCCAAGAATTTTTGAATCGTGCTCCTTTAAGGACGGAAAAAGGTCATCTTCAAGGAGGTCTTTCTTGAAACCTTTTATAAATAGTGGAAATATCCATCTGAAAATGAAAAATAAATGTTATAGACATTTAGGGACAAAAACAAATTATGTCTAATTTAATAAATTTTATTAAATTTTGTTTTATTTTTTGATTCTTTTGATTCTGTTGATTCTTTCTGAGACAACAAATTTCGTCAACATGGCTCTCTTTACTGCATTCTAGTAAGAAAAATTAGGATTAATAACATCCGCTACGCCTACGATACGGTCTCGATTGCAGATAATATACACGATCTACAACAACTGGTCAACAAGGTAGGAGAACTGAGCAAAGCAATGGGTTTAAACATGAACATCAAGAAAACCAAATTTATGATAATATCCAGAAGTCCAGATGTGTTTAAAAACTCCATTATAACATTTGCAGATAGAAAGGGTAGATAGGGTAGATAAATTTAAGTACTTGGGCATCTGGCTCACCGAAGATTGGACATCAGACAAGGAAATTAAATGTCGCATCGAACAAGCTCGACACGCATTCTTGAGGTTTCAAAAAGCACTTGTCTGTTTTGATTTTGACCTTCGTAAAGATTCGTAAAGTGTTACGTGTGGTCGATGCTCCTTTATGGTATGGAAGGTTGGACATTATAAAAGTACCTGCCATTATACAGGGTGGTCCGAATTGTATTCCGGAAACTTCGGCAGCGTATTCTGCAGATAAAAATAAGTAAAAAAGTTCGTATAAATGTATGTCCTAAAATGTTTAGTTTCAGAGATACAGGGTGTAGAAATTTCATCTTTATTTCGATTTTTTCCAAATAATTTCTGAAGTAACGTCAATATTTGGATGAAAATTGTTGTCTGGGAGTTTTTTGGTTTTGATGTCAATATGACCCCTACTAATAGAGGGCGCCACCTACATGCGTTTTAACTGTTTTGAAGCGTAATAACTTTTTGTCCGTACTTGTATAAAACTACCGAGGAAAAAATATACATCTATGTGACTTTTCACGCAAAAAATATCTCTTTGTAAAAATCGCTACAAGCAACCGTTCTCAAGATATTTAGAATGGAAAAGGTCAATACATGTTATTTTTGACGAAAAATAAACACGTTGAGTAGATAGTTATTTCACTGTAATAATAAATTTAGGAAATTTTCATTTTTTTTTAATTAATGCTAATTTTTTCTGCTAAAAATGATGATATGTTTTATCATCGTTTCTATTGAACTTTTGGCACAAAAACATTTTAAATTTATAATTTCAGCCTAGTAACTATTTAGTCAACATGTTCAATTTATGTCAATGATGACAGGTATTGATAATTTCGATTCCAAATATCTTGAAAACTATTACTCGTGGCGATTTTTACCAAGAGATCTTTTTTACGTAAAAAACGTCGTAAATGTATATTTTTTTACTCGGTAGTTTTATACAGGTACGGACGAAAAGTTATTACTCTTCAAACCAGTTAAAAAATATGTAGGTGACGCCCTCTACTAGTAGGAGTCATATTGACATCAAAAACAAATGTTTCATGCCAAAAAACTGCCAGGCACCAATTTTCATCCAAATATTGACGTTACTTCAGAAATAATTTAGAAAAAATCGAAATAAAAATGAAACTTCTATACCCTGTATCTTCGAAACCAAGCATTTTAGAACATACATTTATAAGCGCTTTTTTACTTATTTTTATCTGCATAATATGCTGCCGAAGTTTCCGGAAAACAGTTCGGACTACCCTGTATATAGATACCTTGGACGGCTAGGTTAACAAATGAAGAAGTTCTGAGACGTGTTAACAAACAGCGCGAATTGTTTGAATTAATTAAGAAGAAAAAAACGCAGACCTGGACACGAAACAGGATAATGCGAACCCAAAATATAAATTTTTGCATCTGTTAATCGAAGGCAAGATCGAAGGCCGGAGGGGTATCGGAAGGAAGAAAATGTCTTGGCTGAGGAATGTTAGACAGTGGACAGGCCAACACGATGTACAGTCTTTAATAAACACCGGCACCGCCAGGAACAGAGAAGCGATGGAAAATATTATCGCAAACATTCATTAATGGATTTGCACTAGAAGAAGAAGTAAGAAAAAAAGAAAAAGAAAAAAAAATGAAAGAATAGAGGGGTCTTAATTGTCTTCATCCTCAAATGTGGGTTTTATTTTTTTTATTCCCTTCTTTTTATAATTTCTCATCTCCTCAATTTTTTTTGTTCCACTATTATCCTTACTCATTTTTTTTATCTTTTTTCTATTTTTAATACTAACTAACCCAATGATACGAAATTGCTTTCAAAGGGGATTTTCACCAGACGAACTCAATTACAACTACCTTTGTTTACAAAAATCGAAACATAAATAAGTATATTTTCAGTTTCAAAAAATACATTCTAAACTCGAGTTCCAACCAACGGATTAAGACCACATGATACGAGACTAGATATTTTTTTCACAGTAAATACAGTAGATATACCGAGATATGAACTTTTCTTTCAAATAATAGATAAGAAAAAAATAGAAACTGAAAGTCGGCGGACATTCCTATTAAAATTAAGAGCTCATACTTGGAGAGAATTTTTTTAAATTGTCTACCAACCTTTTTTAGCCTGAGTTTAACTAAGAACAGTGATAAAAAAGTAGTCGATTTTTTTGACCCACCCTACTGTATATAGCACGTAATTCCATGACCAAACTCAATAAAATATGGAAATATTCAGCCGTTCCAATTAGCAACAAACTAAGAATCTCGAAAACTATTAGAGATTGATATAGGTTAGCATAATAGAAAAATTTTGCGATATGGAAGTAGTTTCGAAAAAATATAATAATATACCGGGTGTTCCATTTAAAATAACAAAGATGCTACCACTTTTAGTATGAAGCGGCAACACTGTAATGCTGAAAATAATTTAGACAGATGGATTAGGTGCCTTTATGCAAAAAGATGGAACAGGTACCTTTATGCAAAAAAATAATGTTTAAAAAATTCTATCATCGCATCGGTTCTTAATCAGAATTTACGGAATGATATACGTACAGTAGTACCGGCAGCGGAGAGAACCTCAAATCGATGATTTTCTGTGGTACTAGAGAAAACAGGACTGGTATAAGGATTTCCGGCACTTGACACAAATGGTTTGGGACTCGACACTCTCAACAAATTAGGGAATAACGTGGTCAAAAGCGATGGCAAAATTGTCGATGGCAAGAATGTGGGGAAAGTTGTCAGTGTGGGGAAAGTATCAGTGGTAGTTCTTGGCCTCTCCGTACTTCTAATTTGCTGGATGGCGGGAACTGCTGGCCTTGTTGTGGTCAGATCCCTCTTTTGCGTGCTTGTTTGCAACTTCTCAGTGGTTGACTTAATTGTGGGACTGGTTATACGCAAGATGGTAGTTGTAGTGGTTGTGGGAGTGGTAGTTTGCGTAGTGGTGGTTTTAGTAGTAGTGGTTGTTAAGAGTGTTGTTGTTTCAGGGATTTTTTTACTGGCAGGTGGTTGTGTCGAAACATGTGGTGATGTATATTTCTGAAAATAATTTCGTTTGGTCTCTTACCGTATCAGTAGTGGGAGGGTTTTGTGTGTTTCATCATAAATGCCTAACGTGCCAAGGCCGTGAATCACCCTGTCTATAGAAATTTAAACAGATGGCGGCTAGATTTTTACTGATAAATTTGAATACCCATAGAAATAATCTAACTATCTCGATTTTTCTTCCAAAAGCATATACAATATTGGTCGAAGGCTGAGTTCTAGTCTGCGGTTATGAAAAAAATCAACAGAAAAAGACACAACTTCAGTATTTATCAGAATTCTCCAATTTTTTTGTCAGTTTAAATTTTTGTGCATAAAAACGTATATTCTGACGTCAAAACAAAACGGCCGAATCTGATCAACTGTTCTCAAGTTAATGTGCTTAATCAGGGAGAGCGATATATTTAAAGTTTCATATTCTTGTAAATTTGAAACTCCATAGATCAGATGGGATCAACATTTAAGTTGCATATTTTAACAAGACAATATTCATCAAACATGTTGCCTGTTGTATTGCATCATCAAAACGAGCTCCTCTGTGACTAATGGCACACAAAACTATTAAAAGGCTAATCTTCAAATAGTAGCATCAGATTGACGAAAATTAGAATCACTTTCATCAGAATCATAAAACTGTTTAAAGTTTAAGCCCCAGATTAATTTTATGAAATTAAATCAGCCAGATTAATAAATGGGATTTATATGTATAGTAGGTATCGTTTTTTCATTTAAAAAATTGAAAGTGACTCAGATATTCTCAATTAAGCGTTATAAATATTCGCTTTGCCTTAAACTATGGTTAGGCTGTAGGTAATCTATGGATTATAGCCTTGTAAATGGATTTAGATATTTATAAAACAAATCGTAAGAGAAGGAAACATAGAGAGAAGATATAAAAAAAATAATGATTTTTAGTTTTTTGGACTAATAATATAGATTTTATCTTAATCTTATAATGTTATCTTATATGTATAGTATTTTAATGCTGTTTATAATGTAAATACAGTTCTATCTTTAGTAGTGATGACAGAAATCATCGCAAAGATTCGCAGATTTAGATAAGTCAAGTATTTAATTAAATAATTATTCTTGGAACATGCAGGAAAACACGCTTTTTAAAAAAGATTTGTAAAAAATATACTTTCTTCAATATACTATCAAGCCACGAAGCCACCCTCGTTCCGATTGAAAAAATTGAGTTATGATTAAAAATATGATTTGGGCATCTTTTAATCGACCAGAAAGACAAGAGAATCATTAGACGATCAAATCTATTTTTCCAAACATTCTTGAATAAAAATTAATTGTTTTAACACATGTCTTTCTAGATTGGATTTAAAATGCTATTTTTCTTAATTGAAATTGTCAAAAGTTGACATATGATATATACTCTGTTTTTTTTTCTCAGGTAAGATTTCGACAGACGATGACAGAAGAAAAGCAGATGACGTCCCATACCAATCTATTTATTTTACTAAAAAAAGTTTCTAATTATTTTTAAGTTATCTATGGACGGGT